AGTGAAATATCTTGCCCAGCTAAATAGGGCAGAAATAGGATCAAAGCAGAGGTTAACTGGTTTGCAAAGCTTGGGTTTTTAACCACTGCCCAATTCCTCCATCCAAGTGAGCTCGAGCTTTCTGTGGATCAGCATTGCTGAAATAGGATGGAAAGCAGGGAATATGAGGCCACTGGGTGCCTTCTTTAAAGTGTAGCATCTCTTCAAACCCACCAGTTCTTCTTGCCTCCCCTTCCTATTCACAGAGATCCCTGCCTATTGGTCTCTTTTATCTAAAATCAACATCTGCAAGTTTTGTTTAGGTAAATAATTGCCCGTGAGAAAGAAGGAGTATTTCTACTTTGGAATCAGATCCAGGCCACCTCTTCTTGCATACCTCCCATGATGGGGAGCTTATTATCTATCAAGGCAATTCATTGAATTGTTAGATAACATCTATTTTTAGAAAGTCCTTTTTTTACCTTGAGCAGTAAGCTATATTCTTTGGCAGTTCATGGTGTTTATTCTTCAATTAGACCAGTAGTTCTCAACTAAGGATCATTTTGCCTCCTAGTGGATCTCTGACAATGTCAAAGAGATATTTTTGGTTGTCATGACCAAGAAGAGGGTGAGGATACTATGGCATCTAGTGAGCAGAGGCCAGGGATACTGCTAAACATCCAACAATACAGGACAATCCTTCACAACAAGGAAATATCCAGGTCAAAATGTCAATAGAACAAAACCTGAGAAACAGTTAGATAGACTGAAGTTTGAACCTGGACTTCACCAGTCTCTTCCTAGCTGTGTGACCCTAGCTGCGTGACCCTGCGTCGGTTGCTTCACCCCTGTGAGCCTGACCTGACCATTTCCTCATCTATCCCTTGAGGATCATCACAAGACCTCTCTATGGGCTTGTGGTAGCCATTTAATAACTGATATCCGAAAAGCCCAGGGCTTGGCTCCTTACTGTCATAGCTCCTCCAGTCAGCATTCCCAGGATGTGGAAGATACACTGACTACCTCTGTTTACTTGCTGGCACATGGACCTGATTAGATTAGACTGTTTGTAATCACTCTGGAAAAAGTCCTGCTGCAGCTAATAGTTTTGGAATGGAGCCATTGCCTTAATTCAAAAATGATGGCTTGCTTATGCACATGAGCCTCTTAGAGGAATGGGGTTCATTTCTGCTTGTCACCCAGTCCTCATTACCTGGGGATTAGTAGAGCTTTCCTACCCCACTGCCTCAACTGACCCTCCCAACAGCCCAAGGAGAGAGGTAATGATGTTTTCCCTACTTTTCAGTTGAGGAAATTGGAGTCATGGCTGTTTACCCAAGCTCCACACAGTCCACCAAGTGACAGAGCATGGAGGGGAACTCTCTCCTTCCATCACCTGCTTCTCTAGGGACACAGAGCTATAAAGAATCTATAGGTGCCCACCTTTCTTCTCCAACTGGCTTGTCCAAAGTGCCTCTTCTAGCTTCCATTCTCTCAGAGCACACTATCGCTTGCATCATCTCTGTAGGCTTGGCTTTGGTCCCAGAGAGGGTACCTCAGAACCCAACAGAGTCTGGGCAGCCCAAAGGGAGCATGACCTCCTGTGTAGAATGAGGTGCAGTGAGGATCCATGTCCCCAAATAATTCCTACGCTCAACTTGACATTCCTTTGGCTCTTGTAGAGAGAAAACCATTCAACCATCTATTTTTCAAAATGCAGATCCCTGAGGCAGGGGAAATCATCTTACATTAGTTACCTCATGGGGTAGGACATGTTCAGGGATTGTGTAAGAGCACCAAAGACAAGGAATGGCATATGGGCCTGTGACCCTGGCAGTCACACAGGCCATGTGCTCAAGAGGCCTCCTGTCTTAGTTTCATATTCTGCTGTTGCCATCTTGAAATTCTCTTTTTTTAACTTATATTTTTTAAGGATTTTATTTATTTACTCATTAGAGACACGGAGAGAGAGGCAGAGATGTAGGCAAAGGGAGAAGCAGGCTCCCTGCAGGGAGCCCGATGTGGTACTCCATCCTGGGACTGCAGGATCACACCGTGAGCCAAAGGCAGATGTTCAACTGCTGAGCCATCAGGTGTCCTCATCTTGAAATTCTAAATAATTGTTTAATTTTTAATTCTGCCCTGGGCCCTACAAATTACATAGCCAGTCCTGAGTTGGACATGAAGTTAATGTTGATATGGCTGCTCCTGTTGACTTTTTGGACACCCACTTTTCAGGGATCCCTCGGGCTTCCCCTTCTTTCCCTGACACCCCATCCTCCACCTCGCATTCCTCAGGGGAGCCAGGTGCCAAGATTGGTCTGCATACAGCAGGTGGTTGCTGCAGTTGCCTTTCCAGGAACCCTGAATTCCATAGCATCAGAAGACAAAAGTGGATTTTCTTGTTCTAGAGCAGATCACTGAGCTGAAATGAACCTTTCACCAGGAAATACCTGTTGAATGAGCTGAGGTGCTTCATAGCACCCTGCCTCTCACTCACTTACTCATCCACTTAAGAAATATGTATTGATATTTTGCTTTTATGTTTATGCAAAATAACATGTCCAAGCTACAAAGGAGAACATGTGATAAAGAATCAAGCTTACAGTGATTAGGTGAGGATAAACATATATATGCTACATTAATTTTCCCCAACATTTTACTATGAAAATGTTTGATAAAATAGAAAATTTGGAAACATTGTAGGGTAAACACCTCTATATCTATAACTTGGGTTATAAATTAATATTTTGCTCTTTCTGTTTTATTATATGTCTGTTCCTTTATCCCTTCTTCTAACCAACTATCCATCCAACTTGTTTTTTCATTTCAAAGTAAGGTGCAGACTCAGTAGATTCTCACCCCTAAACGCTTAATATCCAATGGTAATTTTTAGTTCAGTGATCTCAGTTCAATCATAACAACTTTTTTTTTAGTCAAAAGGGAAAAAAATCAGTGTTTTTTATATAAAAATATCATTTTCTGTCAAATTATTGAATGACAAATGGTATATGCATGGTGAAAAGAAATTCTCATTTCCCCTCTGTGTGCAATGAGACAAAGAGAAAAATGAGAGAAGAGAATTTTCCTCAAGTCAAAAAGGAAAATAGAGAAACGAGACACATCTATAGCAGAGAGAGTGGTTGGAGCTACCTTGGGAATACCAAGGCTATGGGAGTGTCTGGAGGAACTGCTTCCTGTTTCCTTCCAACCAAAATCGAAAATAAAATTGAGATGAACTTCCTTAGCCTCTTTCCTCTTTCTTGAGGTGGCTGCGATCTATTCCAAGGGATGTGAGCTTGGTCAGGGCTGAAGGTGAAGCTGCAAGGTCCTGGTTTGGGATGTGGAGGTGGAGAAAGAGAGAGGCTGAAGCTGTAGATTTGGAAGCTCTTATCTTCACAGAGCTGATGGCTGGGGCGGATGGGGGTGAGTGGGGAAAGCTCTCAGGCAGACATCAGAGAGTGACAGGAGCAGAGAGCAGGACTGGGTCACAAGAGCAGAAAGTGATGCTGTTCAGAGGAGGCACACTCAGAGAAGCTGGAGGGTTGCCCTGATGGACAGTTTGGAGCTGGAGGAGAATATGAAAAAATGCCTAAAGCAGACTCTAAATAGGATAACTGGAAAAGCCTTGAGAGATCACCTGTGCCACCTTTCATGTTTGACCCGTGAGAAAATAAAGACTGAGAGGTCACTCAAAATATCAGTGGCAGAGCTGGGGCAAAATCAATGCTACCCACGTGGTGCTTTTCCAGCAAAGTAACTCAAGGGTTCCTCTTACAAGGAACAAATGTCTTAGGGCCTTGCTTTTAATCATTAAAATATCATTCGAATTTAGCTTTTTTCTCAAGAATTTATCTGGGTTTGTCTTAATGTGAAAGTAGTTTGTTTTTGCTAAATTATTGAGAGAGATTTGCACTCAGGGCTTCTCAGTTTTCTTCAAACTCTATCACTTTTTGATGAATATCAAAATCTCACAGCCTCTTCCAGAAATTTTAGGACCTACTTCTACCTCTCACCCCAGTTGAGGATCACCAATAACAGGATACAATATGTTTTCAGTACAGCCTTATTAGCAAGGAAGGTTTTGTTACATATTACTTTGTATAGTTTATATAACGAAAAAAATTTCAAATACAAAAGCAAAATAAGTTTAAAGAGGTAAAATATGCTTTCTTAAACCACACAACTCTTCTCATTTGAGAACCATTAGTCTAAAGAGGTGCTAGTTTTATTTCCTGCTTTTTGTACCGTTGTTATCTCCCCCATATCAGTTACAGATGCTTTTAGCTACAAGTGAACACTCCCACAACAGTGACTTAAGCAAAGAAGACATTTCATTATTTCCCACTAAAAACCAATATTAAGGAAGGAGATTCCAGGGTTGGTTTAACACCTCAGTGATAACAGGACTCTGAGTTGGTGTTTCAGTGGTTTTCTTAGCATTTCCCTGCTGTCCCCAAGACAACTGCCATAGCCCCAAGCATCACCTCCTGTCAGGAAGAAGGGGACAAGGAGAAGTAACACTTTTCCTGCTTTTGATCATTTGTCAGAGAGGAAGAACTTTCTAGAACCCTGGCTCTGCCATGAGACTTCCGTATCTACTTCCTTTGCCACAGTCATGAGGCCTAGATCAGCCACTCCTAGATCAGCCACTGGCAAAGAACTAGAATGCCATGTCCAGCTAAGACCAGCCATAATGCAGCCCACCTTCCCAGAACACATGCAACATAGGACTTAAACTTTGCCTTGCTTTTGCCCAACTCCCTCACTAGAATGTAAACTCCATGAGGGCAGAGATTTTTGTTTTGTACACTTCTGTATTCTCCATGTCCAGAAAAATGTTAGGAATTCACTAACTAGTCATTGAATAAGTGAAGAAATGAACGACTAAGGGAGAAGGGTAACCAGCAGTATCTATTACCCCCAACAGCATGCAACCCCAGTTAGATCAACTTGATGGTACCAAGTGACTCTACTGATCTCCAAGGCTCTGATCTTAATCCTTGTGTCTCTTTTTCCAGGGAGGGAACCACAGCTGGAGGCTGCTCTTGTGCCAATGAACCTTCCCAATTCTTCCTGCATCTTTGAAGACAAGATGTGTGAGGGGAACAAGACCACCATAGCCAACCCCAAACTGACGCCCCTCGTGGTGTTCCTGAGTGCCATCTCCTTGGTCACAGTGGGACTCAACCTGCTGGTCCTGTATGCTGTGCGGAGTGAGCGAAAGCTACACACCGTGGGGAACCTATACATTGTCAGCCTCTCTGTGGCAGACCTGATCGTGGGAGCTGTTGTCATGCCCATGAACATCCTTTACCTCCTCATGTCCAGGTGGTCCCTAGGCCAGCCTCTCTGCCTGTTTTGGCTTTCTATGGACTATGTGGCCAGTACAGCATCCATTTTCAGTGTCTTCATCTTGTGCATTGATCGTTACCGCTCTGTCCAGCAGCCCCTCAGATACCTGAAGTATCGTACCAAGACCCGAGCATCAGCCACCATCTTGGGGGCCTGGTTTCTCTCCTTCTTGTGGATTATTCCCATTCTGGGATGGCATCACTTTATGTCACAGACCTCAGGACACCGGGAAGACAAGTGTGAGACAGACTTCTATGATGTCACCTGGTTCAAGATCATGACTGCCATCATCAACTTCTATCTTCCCACCTTGCTCATGCTCTGGTTCTATGCCAGGATCTACAAGGCTGTACGGCAGCACTGTCAGCACCGAGAACTCATCAATGGATCCCTCCCTTCCTTCTCTGAACCTAAGCTGAAGCCAGAGAACCCCAAGGCAGGGGCCAAGAAACCAGGGAAGGAGTCTCCTTGGGAAGTTCTGAAAAGGAAGTCAAAAGATGCCAGTGGTGAGCCTGTCTTGAAGCCACCATCCCAAGATTCAGAGGAGATGAAATCCCCAAGTGTCTTCAGTCAAGAGGAGGACAGAGAGGTGGACAAACTCCAGTGCTTTCCACTTAACATTGTGCAGGTGCAGACTGAGGCAGAGGGGAGTGTTAGGAGTTATGTAGCTATCAACCAGAGCCAGAGCATGCTTGAGATGGATGAACAGGGTATGAACATGCGTGGGGCCAATGAGACATCAGAGGATCAGATCCTAGGTGATAGCCAGTCTTTCTCTCGGACAGACTCAGACACCCCCACAGAGTCAGGATCAGGGAAAGGGAAACCTAGAAGTGAGTCTAGCACAGGCCTGGATTATATCAAGTTCACTTGGAAGAGGCTCCGCTCACATTCAAGGCAATATGTGTCTGGGTTACACATGAACCGAGAACGAAAGGCTGCCAAACAATTGGGTTTTATTATGGCGGCCTTCATCCTTTGCTGGATTCCTTACTTCATCTTCTTCATGGTCATTGCTTTCTGCAAGAGCTGTTGCAATGAGCGTGTGCACATGTTCACCATCTGGCTGGGCTATATCAACTCCACGCTGAACCCCCTCATTTATCCCTTATGCAATGAAAACTTCAAGAAGACATTCAAGAAAATTCTGCACATTCGCTCCTAAGGGAGGCGACCAGGGGATGCAACCAAAGTGACACTTAGGATGGTCCCGAAGAAAACAGAGGATGAAGGCCTGTGAGTTGCCAGGCACCTGGGCTTTCTGGAGTCAAAAGAATAGTCTTAAAGACTAGGTAACTTAGAAAGTTCTTAGGCACCATTGACAGAACAGCAGATGGCGGTGGTCAACAGAGAGAGCAGGATATATCCAAGACAATCGGATCTGGATGAGTTCTCCTGCTCCTCAGGAAATGTGAGAGCCTCAGACTCTCAATGCAATTCAAGCTTGCAGACTGGAATTAATTGGAAACTGAAGGGACACATGGAGAGAGTTTTACTGCAGAATTAGATGGAATTCTCAAGCCTTCCTGGAATGGAGTTATAGGACTGTGCAGAGACCTTACATATGCGGATAGATGCTGTCCCTTTCCAGGGGTCACCTTGATAGGCATTGACAACTATTCCATCGTGACTGTAACTTCTCAGAACACCTGTCCTCTGAGGCTCTTCTATAGTTTTCTCCAGAACCAGTGTCTGAACCATGTTGGAAATTCTACCTTATTGTTTCTCATTCCTACATATCTTAGAGTTGGTAGGACACTATGCAGCTTGATTGTTTTCAATCCCACATTCCTTTTGACTCTTAACAAAATAGTGATAAAAGCTACCCTCAAAAGAAAGAGGAAAAGGGTACTTTTTAATGGTTGCACAATAAAAAGCAAACAAAAAATGGGAATGGGGAAAAGAAAGCCATATTTCTTGAAGGCTGGGTCATGTTTATCTCATTTAAGCTTCATGACACCTCACCGCAGGAGGACGGTATTACTAGGGGAGCAGATTGAGGGACATAGCTAGTTATGTGAGGGAGCTAGAATGAAAATCCAGTGGGGCTGCGGCTCGTTGTAACACATTTCCTCCAAAAGGCAAAAATTTGTCCTGTTAAGTATACAACACACGCATGCACACACACACACTATTCCTGAGAGTGGTGGCAATTCTCAAAAGGATGTGTTCAGAGAAGGAACAGATGACATAGAATATGCCTGAGGCTGCAGAAGGTGATACTTTGAAGGAACAGTTTCATTTTTATCTGTGAGTTCTGCTGTGTTTGTTGAAGAAAAGTCATCATGTTCTTTTATAGTTACAGTTCTTCAGTAAAAACTAGCAAAGTCATGGAAACATACAGTTTTCCTTGGGGTTTATATCTCAATCTGGTTGTGATTTATATTTTAAAACTTAATGGCAAGCTGTCATATATGTAGCAAAATGGAGTGTGTGTACAAGCTGGTATTTTGTGTCTTGTGTTCCTATTTGCATGATCTGTTACAATGACAGATTTTTACCTACCTAAAATATATTTGAAACTATACTGTTATGACTTTGATTTATTTAATTCTGCCTTTCTGAGTCTCTTGGACTGAAAAGATGTATTGAAACGTACTGTCAAATATTACGAGATCTAATACAGCGTTTCTCTTTGGTTTCTGGTCACATTCGTAAATGTCTTTAGAAAAGAACTTACTTTTTTAAAGAAGCTTCACTCTGCTTGACATCTCCCAAAGCTCTGCTTGCTCCAAACTTAGGGGAGCCAAAGAGACCTTTATCCTGGTTCTAAAAGCTGCAGCCAGTCTGCTCCCAGGTCAAAAAAGGTTTCTCAAGTGCCCATTATTTATGTTGATGTATGGTAGAGGCAACTAGTGAAGAGAAGTGTTTATGTGCTCTCACTTTGGGCTGAAGAGACTTAGGAATTTGAGCCTGACAAGAACAAGAAACAGTAATTATAAAGGGTCAGAGCATAGGAAAACAAGATCCATGCATTATTGAATACAATATTTATGGTGTGTGCAGAGTGGTACACAGTGGGGACTCATATGCATTTTTTTCATATGTAGTTTTAAAAATACTGATCTTACTATGTGCGAGGCCCCATGCTTTGCCACCATGATCTAATTTAACCTATATGCCAATCTCATGAGGGAAATTTCTGTGTTTTTACAACTAGGCATATTGAGGCACAGAGAGAAATTGAGGAATGGGAAGGAAGACAGAAAAAGAGAAGTAGAAAGTGGCAGACAGAAAGAGCATAAACCAAGTGGCATAATACTAATACACACAAGAAAAATCTACATTCAAGAACATATTCTGCGTCAATGTATTCAGAAGTTAAATATATTCAAAAGAAGAATAAACCATCCTTAGCTCTTGATAAATAGAAATTCCTTCAAATGATTCTCTAAAGACCACATGAAAACCAGTCAACAACTGCATCACATAAATATTTAAAAGCTTGTGAAACTACTCCATATAATAGAAATTGCTATAGATCTTAGAAGTTGGTAATGTTAATAAAGTGTTCATTCAGAAAATCCATTAGTCTTCAGATTGGCCATTTGATAGATTGGTCATTTGGCAACTTGGCTTGCAGATAATTGCTGATGTCTCTTTTGAAAATGGGCCTTCCAAAGGCAGACTTAAGTCCTAACACAGGGTAAAAAGGATATTGAGGCTCTTTGGCTGAGATGCATTCTAAGTTCTGTAGAGAAATAATGCTGTTAAGATCCAATTTGCCAATATGTCATTCCACAGTTTCTTGAGCTTTCAAAGCCTAGGCTATGCAGCGTATGGTTCCCATTGTGGGGAGCATGTGCTCTCCTCAACTGAGCTACAAGTCAAATGATGAAGGTGGATAGATCTGAATCACTGTTTCCTTGAATAAGTGTCATGGGCCTCATTGCCTTGCTGTGTCTGAGAATATTCTCTGCCTTTTTAAGGGTCCTGGTCTTGCATCTTTCATGATGCTCCATCATCTCGGTGCCCCAAGGCATGAACATCAGTTCAAAAGTCCAAAGCTTAGAGTGAAGAATCATCCTGTGTCTACCTCTCCTGCAATTTACTCTGAACAGGTTGGGGTGGGGTGGGATGGGGTGGGGGCAGATGGCACATGTAGTACAAACATGGTTGGAAGACCAACAGTTCCCAGAGAGGTGGAATCATTGTGAGCTGGGCGGAAACTCCGAAAAAGTGTTCACTGTAAGTATCTTGAAGTCCAGCAGAGGGAACAAGCTTATAAAGTACAAACATCAACCTACACTCATATATGCCTTCACTCTATTGAGTGAAGCCTAAATATGGGTGGGTGTCATCCTACTGGGGTTTTTGAAAGTCAATTTTGTTGCACTGCACCAAAATTAAAATTAAAATGCACCCATTTAAAATGTAGAGGTCAATGAGTTTTGACAGATGTACAGACCCATGTCATCCCCATCTCAATCAAGATATAGAACATTTCCCTCATCCCAAAAAATTCTTCATGTCCCTCTGTGCCCCAGACAACTACTGATCTGACTTCTAATCACTATGGATTAGTTGTGCTGATTGTAGAACCTTGCATAAGTGGAATTATATGTGATTTTTTTGTTCATTTGTCAAAGATTTACCCACATTTCAACTGGGTTTATGATCATCATCATTATCATTGAAGTATAGCTGACATACAATGTTATATTAGTTTCAAGTGTACCATATGTGATTTGACAGTTCTGATTGAACTGGATCATCTGGATGATTACTGAATGCTCACACAGTAAATGTAGTCACCATACAACGTGATTATAACATTAATGACTATATTCTCTATGCTGTACTTTTCATTTCCATGATTTACTTATTTTGCGATTGGAATTTTGTACCTCTTAATCCCTTTCACCTATTTTGTCCACACCCCACCCTCCTCCCTCTGGCAACCACCAGTTTGTCTCTGTATTTATTAATCTGTTTCTGTTTTGTTTGCTTATTTGGTTTGTTTTTTAGAATCCATATATAAGTGAAATAATATAGTATTTGTCTTTCTCTGACCTATTTTACTTAGCAAAATAGGTTTTTCCTAGGTCTTTTCATGTTGTTGCAAATAGCAAGATTTCCTTTTTTTTTTTTTACAGCTGAGTAATCTTCCAGTGTGTGTGAGTGTGTGTGTGTGTGTATTATATCTTCCTTATTCTTTCATCTATCAGTGGACACTTTGGCTGCTTTTATATATTGGCTATTGTTAATAATGTTGCAATAAACATAGGGGTATATACATTTTTTCAAATTAGTGTTTTTGTTTTCTTTGGGTAAACACCCAATGGTGGAATTACTGGTTTAAATTTATTTCTATTTTTAATTTTTTGAGGAACTGCCATACTGTTCTCCACAGTGGTTGCACCAATTTATATTCCCACCAATGGTACACAAGTGTTCCCCTTTCTCCAGGTCTTCACCAACACTTGTTATTTGTTTTTTTTTGTTGTTGTTGTTTTCTTGATACTAGGCGTTCTGATTGGTGTGAGAGGATATCTCACCATGGTTTTGATTTGCATTTCCCTCTCTCTCTCTCTTTTTTAAAGATTTTATTTGTGCATGAGAGACAGAGAGAGAGGCAGAGACACTGGCAGAGGGAGAAGCGGGATCCCTGTGGGGAACACTGATGTGGGACTTGATCCCAGGACCCTGGAATCAGGACCTGAGCCAAAGGCAGATGCTCAACCACTGAACCACCCAGGTGCCTTGCATTTCCCTCATGATTAGTTGATGTTGATCATGTTTTCATGCATCTGTTGGCCTTCTGTATGTCTTTGGAGAAATGTCTATTCAGGTTCTCTGCCCATTTTTAATTGGATTATTATTATTTGTGCATGCATGCATGTATGTGTGTATGTTGAATTGTGTAAGTTCTTTCTCTGTTTTGTATATTAACTCCTTATCAGATATATGATTTGCAAATGACTTCTTCCATTCACTAGGTTGCCTTTTGTTTTGTTGGTTTACTTTGCTGGGCAAAAACATTTTTAAGATTTTATTTATTTATTTATTTATTTATTTATTTATTTATTTATTTATTTATGAGAGACACACACAGAGAGAGAGAGGCAGAGACACAGGTAGAGGGAGAAGCAGGCTCCATGCAGAGAGCCCGATATGGGACTTGATCCCAGGACTCTGGGATCATGCCCCAAGCCATAGGCAGACGTTCAACCCCCGAGCCACTCAGGTGTCCCAAAAGCTTTTTATTTTGGTATAATAATAGTTTATTTTTGCTTTTGTTTCCCTTGCCTGAGGAGACATTTCCTTAAATTCATTGCTAAGGGGATCCCTGGGTGGCGCAGCGGTTTGGCGCCTGCCTTTGGCCCAGGGCGCGATCCTGGAGACCCGGGATCGAATCCCACGTCGGGCTCCCAGTGCATGGAGCCTGCTTCTCCCTCTGCCTGTGTCTCTGCCTCTCTCTCTCTCTCTCTCTCTCTCTCTGTATGACTATCATAAATAAAAAAAATTAAAAAAAATTAATTCATTGCTAAGGCCAATGTCCAAGAGATTACAGCCTATGTTTTAAGAATTTTATGGTTTCAGGTCTCATATTTAGGTTTTTAATTCAATTTGGGTTTATTTTTGTGTTTGGTGTAAGAAAGTGCTCCAGTTTAATTCTTTTGCATGTAGCTGTCCAGTTTCCCCAGCAGCATTTATTGAAGAGACTGTATTATCCCCGTGGTATATTCTTGCTTTCTTTGCCATAGATTAATTGACCATATAAACATGAGTTTATTTCTGGGCTCTCTATCCTGTTCCATTGATCTATGTATTTTTTGTGTGTGTGCCAGTCCCATACTGTTTTTATTATTACAGCTTTGTAATATATCTTGAAGTCTGAGATTATGATACTTCCAGCTTTGCTCTTCTTTTTCAAGATCCACTTTGGCTATTTGGAGTCTTTTGTGGTTCCATACAAATTTTAGAAGCATTTTTTCTAGTTCTAAGAAAAATGCTATTGATATTTCAATTAAAATTGCATTGAATCTGTAGATTGCTCTGGGAAGTATGGACATTTTAACAGTATTAATTCTTCCAATCCATGACCATGGAACATCTTTCCATTTGTGTCATCTTCCATTTTTCATCAATGTCTTGGAGTTTTCAAAATATAGGTCTTTCACCTCATTGGTTACATTTATTCCTAGGTAATCTTTTTGGTGCATCAACTTTTGAAGACAGAGAAAGAATTACACAAGCAAAGGAAGTGTGAGGGTATTGATGGGGGGGGGAGATTTATAGAGTATGCTTAAAATATCAGAATTAGTTTGGTGTGACCCAAGTATGCAGCCTGAGGGGGCCGTGGCAGGAGAGGAGCCTGCAATAAGAAAAGAATTTATAATAGTGAATTTTACCTGGTCCCTGTGCTCTTAAAAAAAAAAAAAACTATCCTTTTTCAACATGCGTTCTCTACTCTTTTGTGCTCTAGAAAGGGTTTACTGCAAATAAATATCCATTCCTATATGACTTAAACTAAGACTCGTGGATGCCTTCCTTGTGACAAAGCAAGACAGTCCTTCTGAATTGGTATTCTTTGCCTTATAAATGTTTAGCTGAACTACTTGTATCTGCTGATCAATCTAAACAAAATGTGTTGTTAACCAACTTTAGTTAAGCTTTTCCCATACCTTCCAGGCTCCTTATTTTTGACATACTCTCAGCCTGAGTCACAACCCTTCCAGAAAATAGACTGATCTTAAGGTAAAACATTCTCTGATCTACTACTATCCAACCAAGCCACCCTTTCCTCCTACTCTCTCATACCCAGCTTTTTTTTTTCTACCCTTCTTCACTCTTCCCTATTAAGGAAAAATTCTTTTTGCCTAACCCTTCAGACACTTGAAGATCTTTTAGTCAGAGGGGTCTCCCTATTACAAGAGGCCCTTCCCTCCCCTTATCCTTCCCCCTTGCAATAATCCTTTCAAATAAAGTATCTCCTTACTAAGTCTGGATTTGCTTTCTTATTTGACAGAGTCAAACAGGCTTTCATTAGAATCCTATCCCCAAAGCTCTGAAACCTTCAACAAGCCACTTAACTTTTCCTAGTCTCTGTTCCTTTATGTGTAAAGTGGGGACAATATGACACCTATGTTTCAGGAAATTTGTGGTGATTAGAAAATGTGAAATTCTGAAAACATGGGAGATAGTAGTAGTCATTACTCTTTTCTTTTTAAATTTTTTTTTCTTTTTACTTATGATAGTCACAGAGAGAGGCAGAGCTCCATGCACTGGGAGCCCGACGTGGGACTCGATCCCGGGTCTCCAGGATCGCGCCCTGGGCCAAAGGCAGGCGCCAAACGGCTGTGCCACCCAGGGATCCCTAGTCATTACTCTTGTTAGGAGTCTATTGAGCTACATCAGAGTCACTTTCATTCCTTATGAATGAATGGCCTTATATGTCACATTAAGTTCATACTCACTATTGTGTCTTCAATACCTGACCAATGCTTGGCATATGGTATATGTGTGATAAATAATTTGGAATGAGTAACTTTATCCCATCGACAGCAGGGAGCTATGGGAATATTGCCTGGTTTAGAAAGAAGAGGTTAAGGGGCACCTGGATGGCTCAGTGGTTGAGCCTCTGCCGTCTGCTGAGGTCGTGATCCCAGGGTCCTGGGTTCGAATCCTGCATCAGGTTCCCCAAGGGAGCCTGCTTCTCCCTCTGCCTGTGTCTCTGCCTCACTGTGTCTCTCATGAATGAAAACATAAATAAATCTTAAAAAAAAAAAAAGAACAGGTTAATCACTGACAATCTTCATGAGATTTTACCTATTAAAATTCTCGTCTGTCTCCACACCTCCTCCTTAATGACGCCTGGGATATGTTTGATGCTGCCTGTCCTGGAAAATAGAAATGATCATCATCCCTCTACACATTCCCACAGCCGACAAACCGGCTTATCACACCTAGCTCAGCTCTCCCTCGAGTCCCTCGCCCACCTCCTGACGCTCCGCCTTCCGTGCAACTCAAGCTCCTCCCACTCAGCCGGGTGTAGGGGCTCGTTTACCCGGTCGGGTCCCCGCCTCCGTGTGCGCACGCGCACCACTGGCCGGGGGCGGGGCCACCCGGGGCGGGGCTATATTGCGTCATCGGAGCGCGCGCTGCGGAGGACGCCGTGGTTGCCGGAAGTTAAGCGGCGGTAAGTGAGCCGCGCTGGAGAGGCAGTGGCGGGGTCCCGCGCTTGGCGGGAAGGGGCGAGCTCGGCGGTGAGGGCAGGAGTCTTGGCGGCTTTCGGGATCCTCCCTCCTGCAGGGGGTCACTAACTCCGGCTCTCGCCGTCCTTCCGCGCCTCGTCCCCCGGGACTGGTTGAGCCCGGGCTCTTCTGACTGGAAGGCTCCGGCTGTCCCAAGTCAGGCCCTGCTGCCGTCTGGCAGGCGGTACTCTGAATCTGGGGGGTCGGAAGGCCGGAGGCCGGACGCCAGGCAGGCTTCCTATCCTGGCCTTGCCCGCCTTTGCGGTGCGGCTTTGGCGAGTCAGCGCTTTCGGCCTCTCTTGCCTCATCTGTAGAATGGGAGAGCGAGAATAACGTCGTTTGTGAGGCGGGGGCATGAAATGAAGTCAGGTCTTTTGTCAGGGCCTTTCTGAGCTGAGATTCTCGATTCTTCAACGTGGCCCGCCCAGGGGTCACAAGCTTTAATGGTTATTCAGTCAGGTAAGGCAAACGTAGGTGTAAAGGAATTTATTTCCATGTCAGGAGCAGACTTCTGTTTTTACCGAATTGAGTTTTCATGGTGCAGTACTGACATGTATGAAGTGGGAGAAATGAAAACAAGACTTGGGCGCTGCACGCGTGTGATCTCTTGATCATTAAACACAACTACAATTTTTTTTCAAGACCTGTTTTTAGAAATTGTGGGTTTTGGGGGGCTTTGTTTGTTTGTTTATACTCCACAGCTGAAACCAGACATATATGTGACTGCCAGTTTCAGATCCCTGGATACCAGGTTCCCTTTCCCACTGAGTACTCGGATTTCTTTTCTTTTTATTTTTTTTTTAAAGATTTTTATTTATTCATGAGACAGAGAGAGAGAGAGAGAGAGAGAGGCAGAGGCAGAGACACAGGCAGAGACACAGGCAGAGGGAGAAGCAGGCTCCATGCAGGGAGCCTGACGTGGGACTGGATCCTGGGTCTCCAGGATCAGGCCCTGGGCCGAAGGCAGGCACTAAACCGCTGGGCCATCCGGGCTGCCCCTGATTTCTTTTATGACACCATTGCCCACTGGTTAAATTTCGTAAGTGGCAGAAAACCCACTACCTCTGGTGATTGTTTGGTCTTTCCCTAGCTTTGACTTGAGTTCTATGTTGAGCCGAAAGCAGCTACCCATGATCTCAGCTCATTGTCCACCGTCCTTCAGGCTCCTGGGATCTCCCTTCCACCTGATTGCCCACACACCTTTGAAAGCTGCTGGTTTGTCTTCCCCTTCACACCATTTCTTCTCCAGGCTGAGCACGTTTAATTTATGTACCCATAGTAAACTCCGTAATGATGGAGAATCTTGTTTATGTGCCAGGCATCACTGTGAGCATTGCTGGTGTAGAGGTAAAACCAGACAAAAACAACAACTAAAAAAACCCTGTTTTATGGAGCCTACTTTTTTTTTTTTTTTTAAGATTTCATTTATTTATTCATGAGACACACAGAGAGGCAGAGACACAGGCAGAGGGAGAAGCAGGCTCCATGCAGGGAGCCTGCCCTGGGCTGAAGGAGGCACTAAACCACTGAGCCCCCTGGGCTGCCCGGAGCCTACTTTTTGATCGTGGTGGTGGCATTTGTGGTAATTGTCAATAATACCCGTCTTTTAGTGGGCCAAAGGTGTTTCAGATCCTGTTAGATGCTACAGAAAAAAGAGACCGTAATGGGATGGAGAGTAACCGGGGGTTAGTGGAGGGGGTTTTTGTAAAATCTAGCTGGTGAATTCTAGAGGCAAAGTCTCTTTGAGTAGGTGATTTTGGAACTCACATGCGAATGAAGAAAAAAAAAAAAAGCCAGCCTTGTGAAAGCTCATCTTGCCTAATTGTTTCTTCTACCCCCCAGTTCTGTGCTGCGGTCTTGTTAAGCCGTGTACAGGTTGTGTCTCACTTGTGCCCTTTGTTCCTGCCCCTTCTGCTGCCTAAAAACAGCTCCCCTTCCTCTTCCACTTTCTTGGCCAACTCCTCCCTGCCCTTCACGTGACATGATCTCAATTCTTTAAGGAGTGAAGTACAGGCCTCTCATTCAAGATGTACATCCCCGTCCTCAAGGAGTTAATTATTTTTTAAGTCAAGGAGATAGATAATAGCACTCTGGTATGAAGCTAGAGTAGAGATTTGCCAGAGGAGGACTCAGAGTGACCGTAGGTCAGGATGAGGTATCAGAGAAGGCTTCTGTGAGGATGTATTGGTTATGAAGGTTAAGCAAGATTAGTCAGGAGGAGAAGAGTGGGAGGTGGGATGATATGCATTGGGAGTGGCATGAGCAGAGAGCTGTAGGTGACTGTGTGACTTGCAGGTAGTTCACCTAGGCTAAGAGGGGACTGTGGAAAGGTAAGCAGGAGGCAGGTCACAAAAGGCCTTGTGGGCAATAGAGGATTATATATTGTAATATACGATTAGGATCACAGACTTTGTGATCTAAGTTACTTGTGTACCTATGCTGGCTTTGCCCCAAGCTAGTTTTGAGACCGTGGGCAAGTTTCTCCCTTTCTAAGCTTCAGTTTCCTCACGTGAAAGCCAACCTCCCAGGGTTGCTGTGAGAATTGAACGCTATATGTTAACCCACCTGATGTTCGTAGATGGTAAATGATAAACTGTAGCAGTTAATATTGCCATGCTAAGAAATTTGGACTTTATCTTGAAAGTGTGATGTTGGAGAGTCTAGGCAGTTTAAAAAAGGAATGTGAAATGCTCTCTTCTGTTTTAAATTACCCAGGAAGTTCCATGGGGATTACACTGGGGCAAGCTGGGAGACCAGTGAGGACACTGTCGCTTTGGTCCAGGTGGCAGAGGAGGGAGACCTGAACCAAGGCAGTGGCTGTGCCGAGAGATGCATGGGTGGGTTTAAGGGATACAGGGAGTGGGATTTGCTGGACTGGCAACCCTGTAACACCACGTGGTGAGAGGAGGGAGATGAATTGGGATATGGGTGGGTGCAGGGGATGAATCCTGTGTGTGGACCTAAGTAATAACAAAGTTATTTGATGAGTGGTCCTTGATTGGTTATCCCTGGCCTCCGCTGAGATTTTATGTGGAAGTCCAAATGGCCTGTTTTCTCTATTCATGGGAAGTGAAGTTCAGAAATGCCTTCCTCCTTTTTTGTCCCCTAATCCTTCTCACCATCTCTAGTATAAGGCCTGGTTGTGTACTCAAGGGAAAATAACGAGATGCTGCTTTGTTAGCCAGTGGACAGTATGCGTCTCCATGGTCTTGGCAGACTGGGTAGCAACAGTGCAGTGTCAGTCCAGCTCCAATGATCACCTCTGGGTTTTTCTCAACGCCTTCTTTGTTGTGCTTACCCTCCTTGGCGCTCATTCCTGTTTGACAGTCTCTCTTTGAGAGTGTGGTATACAAAGAAAGATCTCTTTCTTCCGGAGTCTGACCATACAGACGGCTGTAGTTTTTTTGGTGACCTGAGGCCCCCCACCCCATCTCTGTTGTAGACACATCCTGTCCTTGACACTATCACGCTGTGAGCTCCTGGCGCTACTTGGCACTCCCCACGTGTGTTTGGACAGCTCTTTTGCCTGGCTCCTGCTTGTCTTTCAGATTTGCATTCCTCCCTCAGCTGCCTAACGTTCCCTTTGACTTCACTGAGTTGCAACATCAGTGAAGGCTCCTCAGCCTCTATCATTTAACAAACTTAGCTCCAGCTGACCCTGTCACTATGCCTCATTCTGTGAAAGAAATATGTTTAGGGGTAATTCTTTTACTTGTGCTGAGATTCCATCTCTTCCTTTTCCTCCGGATCTGGTTCCATCATTTATTCTGTTTCTTTCCTGCTTATCCATCCCTTCTCATGTAAATATCTAGTAAAAAACCAAACCGTCTTCCCATTTATTTCAGCCACCATGCCACCTCATCCCATCCACATTTCTTGACTTCCTGAAGTCATCATTTGCTAAAATCCTGCTTCCACCCACTCGTCCTCCAAAATTGCTCTCCCTAGTCTTCACACCTCTGTGTTACCAAAACTTCTGAACATTTTGCCTTCCTTATCTTTTGAATTCTGAGCACATCTAATATTGCTGATATTCCTTCACTTATGAAAACCACTCCTGCTTTGTGCTGTCTTTCTGGCTGTTTCCCCCTGTATCCATTGTAGGTTTTTTCCCCTCCTTTTGTCTCTTAAATGCTAGTTTTTTTCAAGGCTCTGCCTTATACTCTGTGCTCTTCTCCCTCACAACTTCAGCTCCCACTTACATACCAAGGACCCCTGTTTTGTATCCTGAGCTGGGATCTCTCATGAGGGCCCATGCTCAAACTCAGTGAGTCCAAAATGAAGTTCATAAGCTTCCTTCCAAGACTGCAATTCTTTTTTTTTTTTTAAAGATTTTATTTGTTTGTTTGTTTGAGAGAGAGGTAGTGAGAGAGAGCAGAGCAGGAAAGAGAGGCAGAGGGAGAAACAGGCTCCCCTCTGAGCAGGGAGCCTGCCATGGGCTTTGATCCTAGGACCCCAGGATCATGACCTGAACTGAAGAGAGATACTTAACTGAGCCACTCAGGCGTCCTCCAAGGCTACAGTTCTTTCTACATCCTTTACTCTGACTCATTCTCCTCCTTCCATTTAGTCATTCACACCAGAGCCCTGTTGTCATCTTGAACTTTTACCTCTCATGCCATCCCAGGCAGTCATCAAATTTCTACAGATTCTCCTTCTTTGATAGTCCCCCAGATGCTTTAGAAAATGTGTCCTCCATTTTCTCTCCCACTGCCTTAGTTTGGGCTCTTCTCACTTCTTGCCTATATTCCCTACATGACCACTAACTCCTTGCCTTGTCTGGTGCCAGGTGCCCTTTCTAAAATACAGATCTTAGCTAAAAAACAAATCCCTGCTTTTTCAGTCTAATTTGGATATCGCTCCTTCTTCCTCACATAACAGCCTGTACAGATACTCACACCATACTGTGTGGTGCTTGTTTTATCCACAAATTGCTGTACTGTCATTCCTGGTCTTAGTAACCCTCAAAACTTAGATCCTGAAAAGCAAAGACCTTAGTTTTTTTGCCATTGAGTGCTGAAATATAGCACGGGAACTTGTGCATGATATTATGTTTGTTTGTTTGTTTGTTTATTTATTTATTTATTTAAATATTATGTTTATTGAGGGAATAACTAAATGGAAACCCCTCTGTCTTTGACACATGTTTTGTTGGTAACATTAATTCTATTTTTGAGGGCAGCCCTGGTGGCTCAGCAGTTTAGCGCCGCCTGCAGCCCAGGGTGTGATCCTGGAGACCCTGGATCAAGTCCCACGTCGGGCTCCCTGCATGAAGCCTGCTTCTCCCTCTGCCTGTGTCTCTGCCTCTCTCTCTCTCCTCTCTGTGCATTCTCATGAATAAATAAATAAAATCTTTAAAAAAAATAATTCTTTTTTTGAGTGCCTCCTGTGTCAGTTACCTGCATTTTCTAATTGAATCCTTACAATGACTCGGTATAGCAGGTGATATCCCATCTTATAGCTGGAGAAACAGGCTCCAAGAAGTTAAATGACCTCCCCAAGGTTGTGTGCCTAGATGTAGCAGAGGTGGGATTTTAACTCAGGTCTCTCTGGCTCATGAAGCCCTTCCATTGTCATACTGCCTCCAGCGTATCCGGCTGCATCTTTGCCCAGTAGTTTTTCTGGACTTAGATTTAAGACTCTATATTTACCTCTGTAAAGTTTTTAGCCTTGTTAAAATAGGCCTGTTGTATCAGGTGGTCAGAATCTTTTCTATTCTGAAATTTTGTTATCCATCATATTGCCTGTTCCTTCCTGCTTCATGTCATGTGTAGAATTGGTAAGCAAACCCTTAACATTATTCAAGTCACTGGTAAAATGCAGCAAGTATACTTATTGAATATATTTGTTTACACCGTTTCTGTGTGTTTCCCTGCTCTAAACCCCTAACACACGGTTCAGCACACATAAAATACTTAGTAAATATTCATTGACACAGATAAATAAAAATAAATTGGACCAAAGACAGCCAGTGACTTATCACCATTAGCTCCTTTCTTCCTAACATCGGTTCATGCCTTAACCAGAATTCTTTGAATAAGATTATTTTTTACCAGTTTTAATCCCTCTGATTATGTCAGTATATCCACTTACAACATCTTCATCTTACCTACTAGGATATTTGGAGCATTCTTGTCAGAGACTTTGCCTGAGGTCCAGATATCCTATGTCCCTATGTCTGTGGTTCTTTTTTGATCAAGGAAGAAGTGCGGTTACTCTGTCATGACTTGTTCTTAAACTATAGTGGCTTCTTATGATTACTTGGGACTGCTTCATACAGTTCTGCAGGTTGTGCACTGCACAAGAGGCCACATCTGAGGGTGTTTATGTCATAGGCATCATGGGTTTATTTTTTATAGTGTCAATTTTCTGACATACAAGGGTAAAATGTCTTGAGCCAACCCATCAATGTATTAAGGAAGTTTTTTAAGGGAAGGAAGTAAAATATCTTGAGCAAGGGGTGCAGTTTTCTAATTGTACAAAAGTGCTATGTGGTCTAGAAAGGCCCACATGACACTCTTCCTGGGAGCAAAATCTCTGTCCAGTGGGCTGGAGAGCCCAACCTTATTCTCATCTTTGGAAATTAAATATTTTGAAAATCTGGTATCAAGTGTTGGCTTGGCCCAATTTTTCAGCCCTTCTTTTCCAGGACTCTTTAAATATCACCGGAACTGAAAATCAGAGTCTCTGTTACTCAGAAGCTAGCCTGCATAACTCAGCCTGCTTTTAGGAAACCATCACGGATTTTACTTGTTGGTTGACATAAGGTCTCCACAGTGATTCGGGTGAATCCAGGTAGCAGTCCCTCATATACACAACGGAGCAACGTGACACTGTTGATTGGGACAGGTAACAAAAAGTCTTAAAAGCAGGCATCATGCATCCAACTTTCTTGTGTTGTTTCTCTCTCCTGTCTCACAGCCCTTCTCAGCTTTTACAGCTTTTGCTACCTCTCCTTCGTAGGCTTCCCATGCCCTACAAGGCTGGTATCCAATGAATTCATTTTCAAAAACTGAGGCTGAACAAGTAGACTATATATGAAGGTAAAGATTATTAAAGCAGAAGGAAAACAACTGCCAGAAGTAGCCAATGAGAATGAAGGTTACAGTTTGAAGACTGTAGAGGTGACGGTCAGTTCTCTGATTGACTTCTTGAAGAAGCAAATAATGCCAATCTGTAGGGGTACACATAGAGGTGAGGGAGACAACTCGTCCGTAATAGCAGTTATCATGCCTGCTTATGTGATCAATTGTGATCACCTCACAGTACAGTTACAAAAAAAAAAAAAAAAAAAAGCCATTTTAGATGACTTGGTGTCTTGCGGAGACATCGGTTTGACTCAGGGGCATCTTGATTCTAATGCGATTTTTTAAAAAAATTTTATTTATTTATGATAGTCACACACAGAGAGAGAGAGAGAGGCAGAGACATAGGCAGAGGGAGAAGCAGGCTCCATGCACCGGGAGCCCGACGTGGGATTCGATCCCGGGTCTCCAGGATCGCGCCCTGGGCCAAAGGCAGGCGCCAAACCACTGCGCCACCCAGGAATCCCTAATGCGATTTTTAAAAGGAATTGAGGCTTCTGAATCAGCTGATTCCTCTGTAGGAATCCTGAGTTTTCATCTTCTGGTAAAGGCTAATAATCTGTCTTCAAAGTTTGGAACTCTGCTCCCCTCCTTTTGGAAGGGAGGGCTTGTAAATCTCCTTCTTTGGCAGCCTTGCACATTATTTCCAAAATTCATGAAGATGCAGAGCATCACTAGCCAACAAAACATGCATTGGCTCCGTATGCCAAAGGGGCCCTCTCCCCACTCCGGGCCCTTTCCGCCTCTTTTTTTTTTTTTTTTAAACCCATCCACAGCTAAGAATATACTGCTTGACAGTGGGACTTGGCCATGTGGTTTGGTGCTTATTTTAATGACTGCCAGAGCTCGCAGCCTGTAGCTGTGAGAATGAGAACAGAAGTCTGCTCTATGTGCTCCATTTTGGCCCAGAGGAGGTACTTCAGGGCCAAATTGTGGTTATTCTGGCACTTCTGCTAAGTGAATGGCCCCACGCAACCTCAGAGAAATTGAACACAAAGTGCTCCTAACCCTTAGAACTTGTTCCTCTGTACTTCCCCTTGATGGCCTATAGCAGGATACCATCCGTTCCATTTTAATTAATCTCTGCTGTTAGTGCAATGCTCCTTTGAGGGAGGCAAGGCTTCAATGAGACGTGTTTAAGGCAGAGAAAGTTTTCATAGTGAACATGGGGAAGGCAACCACATTAGTCAGGCTCTGTGGGCTAACGCAGGAGGGATGTGTTGACAAGAAGAACTAACAGCACTACCATGTATTGAGCACTGGCTGTGCCCGGCACTGGGATAGGTACATCATACTCTTTCTCATTTAGTCCTCCCAACGACCTCAGGGCTTGGGTATAATTATCCTTATTTCGGAGATGAGGAAATGAAGGCAGAGGGGATAAAGTTCCCTGCCCAAGGCTCCTCAGCCAATAAGAGGTGGAACTGGAACTTGCATTTGGGTCTATCTGAAGACCAGACTCCCAACTGCTGTCACTTTAGCATCCTTTCTCTGAACCATTAGAAGCTTCCCTGCCCTCCCAAAGCAGATGAACAAAAACCCAAAAACACACACATGGACAAATTACAGCAATTTAGTACAGTTTGGCTGGCCTCTTTTTCTGCTATCTCTCCAAGGATCTAGTTTCCCTGAAGACAGGTTTGTTTGTTTTATCACTATGATTGTTGTCTATCTTCTACCCATTTACCTTCTTCATTTCCAGAAATCCTACACTGGCTTAATACTTGCTGTGTCCAATCCTATTGGCCCCCCACTGGAGAAAGACCAGTTGGACAGACTCACCAGGGAGCATTCCTTCTCCAATTAATTATATAAGCAGCAAAGCCAAAACTCTTCTGTCTTCAGCTTCTTTAATAACAAATGTCAGAGAAATTTATGGAAATGATATTTTGTTTAGACTTATTTAGAGCAAGAATTTCTTTTCACCAAAGCTAGATTTAAAGAGGTAATCTGTTAAGTATTAAATGAATACAGGAAGTTCTCTGTAGGATCACTGTAGGACTTTTTCTTTTCTTTTCTTTTCTTTTCTTTTCTTTTCTTTTCTTTTCTTTTCTTTTCTTTTTTTCTTTTCTCTTTTCCTTCTGATTTTGTTTATTTATTAATGAGAGACACCCAGAGACAGAGACACAGGCAGAGGGAGAAGCAGGCTCCATGCAGGAAGCCCGACGTGGGACTAGATCCTGGGACTCCAGGATCACGTCCTGGGCTGAGGGCAGGTGCTAAACCGCTAAGCCACCCAGGAATCCCCAGGACTTTCTGAATATAGGACTTTCTGTTTTACTTTTCTTGTTCAAGTGTAGTATACATATAGTAAAATGCACTAATCATAAATCTGTAAGCTCATGGGTTTTTACATAGGTATGTGCCCTGTAACCACTGCCCAGCTCAAGTTACATAGAATATTTCCAGCTCCCCAGGAGGCGTCTTATTGTCCTTTCTCAGTCACTAGCCCCACCCCATCCTGTGATTACTTTTCTAATTTCTATCATGTTAATTGGTTTTGCCTGTTGAGTATATAATAACATAGGCTAGGTGTGTGCAGGTGTTAAAATTGTCTTCATATTTTATTTTGGAACAGTTTCAGACTTGCACCCTTACAAGAATAAGACAAAGACCTTTCATGTGCCCTTCTCCCAGAGACTCCATCCAGATTCTGTCCCAATAGCATCCTTTATAAAAGCAGAGTATCAACCCAAGATCACATGTTGCCCTCAGTTGTCACGTCTTTCTCTTTTACTCTGGGACAATTTCCTAGTCTTCCCTTGACTTTTAAGACCTTGACACTTTGGAAGATTGTAAGCCCATCTAAGTCATTTTGTAGAAGGTTTTCTAGTTAGGGTTTACCTGACGTTTCCTCTCGATAAGCCCCAAGTTGTGTTTTTAGCCGAGTGCTATAGACGTTTGTGTTTTTCATGGCATTCCATCAGATAGCATACATGTCTGTTTGTCCCATTGCTGCTGGTGTTAACTTCAATCCCTACATGAAGATGGAATCTGCCAGATCTTGTCACTGTAGAGTCACTTTTTCTCTCTTGATTAATCATTTTTTTGATGAGACTTTGAGACTGAATGTAGGCTTTTAACTTCTGTAGCCATGGGAATACTTTCAGGAAGAAAGATTGATTCTTTACTGATTTTGTATTTGGTTGAGTAAGGTTTCATTTCAATTGATTTGTACATGCATCTCTTGCCCACTAAGATCTTAGTCCTAAAATACAGTAACAAGTTTAGAGACCTTCTAAGTCACATGGCCTATTTCCATATGTTCTTCATGATTTCTTACTCTCATCTCCATATTCCATGGTAATAAGCTTGGAGTTTGTCTTCCCAATTGCAGAAGCCTGGCTTATTTCTTACTCTTGCTTCTCTTGTGATAGGTACCCATAAAAGGTTTCTAGAACTCACCTTAGTAGCATTTGAGAGCCACTCTGCAAGGGAGTATGGTATATTGAGAGGAATATGAGCCAGGATCTGAATCTGTAGAATTTATAATCAGGTTGATGGAAGTAGACAGATCAGCAGAGAGTCAGTAATACTAAATGTAGAGGTAGCTTAGAGACAGGAGTGATTAACCATAGCCAATGGAGCAGAGCCAACATGGAGTAAAGAGAGTGAAAGGCAGCTTTGGGAAGCCTTTCTGGAGCAAATAATCTCAAAGCTGGATTTTGAAAAGTGCCAGTCACAGAGGCAAGGGTGCCTTTTAGACAGGGGGAGCAGTTTTTTCAGAGTTGCCAAGGCAGCACAGCAGTTGTGTTACAGGAGAACCAAGCAGCTTGATGTTTCTTCAGCATCTAGTCAGAGGAGTGGTGGGGCCTCCAGGGTGGCACCAGAAAAGTTGGGAGGCAGTAGTAGCAGGGGTCCTGGAAAAAGCAGGAAGGAAACCGAGGGTCCTCGAACTACAGCCTGCAGGTTAGATCCTGACCAAGGCCTTTTTGTGTGTGTGTAGTCCATGAGCTAAGGATTGTTTTTACATTTTTTAAGAGTTGTAAAAAAGGAGAAGGAACTATGACAGAAACTGTTTGGCATGCAGTGTTTAAAATATTTACTATCTGGCCCTTTTCAGAAAAAGCCTGCCAAGCCCTCGTCTCGTCTGATTGCCTGATACAGTAATCCTTTGAACAATATGACTTGGCTAATAATCATCTAATATATGCTCGGACACTTCCACTAATGGAAAATTCATTATCTCTCCAGCCAATCTGTTTCTTATTTGGACAATTCAGGCTATTAGTAATTTTTAAAGTCTGCTGTAATTTATCTCATTATAGCATCCATCTATTGGTCTTTTGTGGGGGAAGAGTGCTATTATTGCATGTCAACATTTACTGAGCTCCTAATATATTCTAGACAGTGTGCTGAGTGCTGAAGAAAGATGAGTAAGACATGGTTGTTGCATCAGAGCTCTCTCAGATGTTTCTTGGAATTAAAACAGCCATGCTGGTATTTTTTGGTGTGTTTCATTCCCCATATTGCCATTGGGTTGGGGCTTTTTTCTTTATTTATTTCTGTATTATTCCACATACACACAATTCATTGAATTTCAAACATATACAAAGGGAATAGGGCCATACAGTGAAAATAAGTCTCTCCCCACCCTTGTCTCCTGATTCCATAGCTGCTTTCTTGGGAGGCAACCATTGTTACCCATTTCCTGTGGGGATTTGACTTTAAAGAACAGCACGGGATTTGACTTTAGAGACTTAGAAATGGTAAAGAAACTTTTGGTAAGTACTCAGATAGTGGTGTTTTTTTGAGCTCCCACTT